CTAACGTCCTAGTGTATGGCACCGTTGAGATCGATACATGGGTGAGAAGACGACGAGTGTGGTCATCCGTGGGTTGGAGGATTGGGATCATTAGACGCGGCAGGCGAGGAGTAGGCGGGGAGTGAGCTGTGACTGCGACTGCGACTGCGACCATGACGACGGCGAGAGCGAGCGTGTTGTCTGCGAGTCTCACGCATGTTTGCGAACAGAGACGCCTTGGCGACACGAGGTAGCGAAGGCTTATGGTGCCTCTCCTTTGAGTTTTGGCCGTTTCTGTAGCGGGAAGCTCAGCTGGCAAGTTGCACAAGTTGGCAATGGGTTTAGAGGTTGCCATGGCTGTCAACAGATGTTAACCGCAAGCAAGTCGAGGAGCCATGAACCCGCTAACCGGGTCGCGCTTGGACTATCGAGCATCTGGGCCGCCTTTGTCTGTGGTCTCGTTGCCCCTCGAGATGAGATGCGGCGGCGATGGTGGGATAAAGACGGGACGGCCGAGGACTTGCAGGTAACGCAGAGCTTGGAGACGGAGAAACGGCGACTTGGATGACAAGGCCGGAGAATATGAAGCAGTGGAGTGGTGTCAGCAACGCGCTTGGGGCAGGTAGGCTTTCGTAGAAGTGTCCGGCCTGCATGGCTGGTTGGCAACGACGCAATCGACAAGACACGAGGGTGAACAATGCGTCGATGGCGCGGTTTGTACAGCAACCGCCAAGGGTCGAATAACGCTGAGTAGAGTGGCCAAGAGGCTGCGGAAGAAGGCTTCTGCCGATTCAGACAGTCTGGCATCCTGCCATTTCCTGGATAAGTTTGTCTCTTGGGGGCTGGCTGGTGCGGTTGGTCATGGGATGCCTCTGCAGGTTGTACCTTGTCTGGGCCATCTCGCTAAGCCGTCAGAGTTGAGGCAATCAACCTGGCGCAATCACATTGTTCTGGCAACTGCTGCAGGCAGCCACTGGCAGGGCGAGATAGAGTGAGAGTGAGGACGTGTGAATATTGTTGTTGTCGCCAGAAGGGGTCCGACGCCACGAGGAAGGGTATTCGTAAGGGTCCGTGACTAAAGGCTGTAGAAGGGGATGCGGCGCAGGACCATTGGAGGGCGTTGGATTGACGTAGTTTAGCGGCCGGGACAACGGCAGCAGCTCCAGCTCGTGATGATTTGCTGAGGCGAATTGACGGTTGTCGGGCAAGCAGTGCCTGTCTGTCTGTCTGTCTGTCTGTACCTTACGTACTTGGAAGTAGATACCTTAGGCAGGGGCAGGGGAGACTGAGAAATCAAAAGAAGAAGGCACGGCAGGACACTTGCACCCGCCCGGCTACTTTCTCAGATGGAAAGAGCACCGCACTGCACCTCAGCAATTACCAATTACGTGCGCAAGAGCAAGGAAAGAGGCACGACGGGATGTCTTTCCGTGTCAGGAACCCTGACCCAAGCACCTCAGCTTGCGGACCTGAGTTGGAGACTGCCAGTCTGGGCTGCCCAGTGCCAGAGTTTCTGTCATTCGACTCGTCCCATCACTTCCCGTTGTCCACCACCTACGTACTTCAGTCATACCTACAGCCAGGGCAGCAACCTCACCACCCACACCCACCGGAGTCTCCGTCCCGCCTCCGGCCTTGTGCGTGCTGAACGTGGACTTGGACGTGAGGTCCATTTTCAGTCAGCAGCCAATGGCTCGCCAGCTGAGGTGGAGAACGCAGAGGGATGCAACTGAATCTTGTCTCCCGTTGTCTCCCGTTGTCGGCCCTGCAGACCGGCCCTGCGCGGTAGCAGCAATGCACATCACGGTTCCGCAACGACGGATGCCTTTCGATCCAATGCAACCGTGGACCGCAGCTTCTCCATCTCTCCCCTTTCAGCGCCAGCCATCCTCCCCACAAGCTGGACCCCAACCCGGCTCTTAGCACGACAGATATACACCCGCCTTCAGGGACCGCCTCTATTCTGGGTTCAGTTGTTTTGCAGTCCAAGAGCCCGCTGCCGCCGTCGAGATTCCTTGGCGGCCTTATGCTGCGTGCGAATAGCTGCCCCTTTCAGACCCGTGGGGTTGTGTTGCTCGCTTCTGCGTGGAAACACCAACAACATGCGACGCGACGGTGCGACAGCCCAGGACCACGCCCGCTGTCGCTATTGATTCACGGCCACGGAATAACAACTTGCGTACCTTACCTTGAGCTGTAACCTACCGGAACCGTGCCGGAATCCGCGACGTGCTCAGAGACCCAATCAGTCCCATCATCCCTCACGGGCCACAACTCGTCGAGGCCTGCGGCACCGGCTTCTTCGGGACTGGACTGGAAATAATTTCATCAATTCATCTATAATCGCAATCATAATTGTCAACCCGAACAAGACAGAAGAAAGCACCACGAAACAAACTTTTCCTGCTCCGCGGCCCAGACTCGTCTACCTGACACCTCTTCAGCCCGGCCAGGCACGCCGCTAGCAGAAGAACCAAGCAGAACCCAGCAGCATCTTTGCCACTAGCAAGAGCCACGAGAAACCAAAGACAAGTCCAAGGGAAGAGTGCTCCTGTTCCGCTGCTGGTAGCCAGCACCGCACTCGCTTGTTGATCCTTCTGATTGGGTCCCGCTGGTCATGATGCCGACCTCTTCATTGCGCGGGCGAGAACCGCAACTGGCGGGAGACGACACGACCAGAAAGACTCTTCGTCGCGTTTCTAGACAGCCTGGGCCGGTTGACGGCCTCACTGCACCGACAGTGGGTCTTGGTCAGGAACAGGTCCAACGATCACTCACTCAAAGTCATCACTTGTGGCCCTGGAGAGTGAACCGGGCCAAGACTGACTCGCATCCCGGGAACCGTTGAAAAGACGCCCGCATCACTGAGGCTATCTATCGGCAGTCAACATGTTCCATGCCAGGCTGCTTGTAGGCCTGTTGCAACGCCATGGCTCGGCAGGTATCTGCAGCGCCTTGGCTGACTGTGCCTATGCCGTGGTGAACTGCAGTCCCCTCCCTACGCAGTGGTTACAGTACGCTATGTCTGATAGCCGGTCATCATGGAGCCGTGGTGTGATGTCGGTCATCACCGCAGCCATCGTGCAGATGTCGGAAATGGCGAAGAACTTCATGAGCCCCTTGAAGCCGCAGAACCCCCACGCGTGCCGACGCGCTGGGCACTGAAGGCGGACTCCAACTGCTCACCTCCCGAGCTTCGGACAGCAATTACTCGTCCAATCTCTGAACAAATGCCGAGCGGAGAAAATGCGCTAGGCCCGTCCGTCAGACCTGGGTTGACCCTGTTTCAACCCGTCTTACTACACCGACCTCTGAATCCCCTCTCTGCCCATCGGCTGATAGAGACTCCATGCGCTCTAGGCAGTGTGAAGTGGCTAGCTGGTCAGCACAACGGCATCCCTTTTGGTCAGCCTTGCGTGCCGCAGAAATGCAGCGTCAATGTTTGACCGACCTTTGGCAGAGAATGGTGGCTTGCTCGTTTTACACATCCCAAGGGCCATGGGGTGCTCCGGGAAATCGTCACTTCAGATTGGACGACGACAGCAGCCACTGGCTACTTTCTCTCCGTTCGTCCTCCTCTAAGCACCGAGCATCGGCGCCGTCTGTATGTTCTAGACAGCCACACTTGTCTTGGTACGGACGACGGATGTCTCCCGCGCGCACGGTCGCCGCACCCGAGCTTCACAGAGTTGGCGGAGGTGGACCGCAAGAGATTGTCTCAGTGAACTTTCCGTGATGGCCTGCACCCATCCGAGTTTTGGAGAAGGGTTGAAATGAGGCCAAGAAGGAATAGCGACGCGTTCGCGCAAGCCCCGACCGTCACTCTACCCGCCGACTAGGCCGCAAACGCATTTAGACTCTGCTTGCTCGGTCTGTCTGGGGGATCGTCGCCAGGGCAGTCAATGACAGGCCGATCAGTGCTCGATTCCGGTGACGTTGCAAGATTGAGCTCGTCTTACAGGCGGGCGGCCAAGTGTCTATCGGAATGTAGAGTGCTTACTGGGTGTGTCGCCGGCCATCCCATAACTGTGTTTTCCGACGACAGACCTATTCTGCCTTACCTGAGTCTCCCTTGAGCGCGAGGTCAGTAGGCTGAGACATACGTCGGTCGTGAGTGGTCACAAGCACATCAGAGACACGAGATGGAAGCAAAGACGCACTCATTCACCTTTCCGGGCTCGAATCGCGGCCAATGTTCGTCATCGACCTGCCTCGGTGGACCGTTCGGAAGTTTTTCTCCCTCGTACAAGGTCTTACTTCGCAGCATCCTTCCTAGAGCTGCTGGATCTCACTGGCTGACATGCTGGACCAAGCATGCAGAGGTGTCAGTGATCATCCTTTTCTGCAACTTTACGAAGTCGGAGGCTGCAGCAACTTGGCTGGTGGCAGTTGGGGCAACTCCATCTCATCGATCCCATGTCCTGGAAAGGCAGTCCCTGGTGCCTGCGCGGTGCGACGCTAGAGGCCCAGCCGCGGCGGTCTTTTAGTTGACGGCGGGCCAGTTCTAATGAGTCGGTTCATGTGTGTTAGTGGCAACCAAGGAAGTGCTGATTACCTACGCTAGGGATGTTGGGGCACCTGGGTCGTTTCCCGGTTTCCTTTACTCGAGTTGACCAGGCACGCGTAGAAGCTGTCACCCGCGCCACCATCCCGAACCAGCAGCCGATATCGAATATGAACCCCTTCGCGCCCTAGTCACGGGCGGCGTCCCGGCTGGCTGTCCGTTTACCTGCTCCCGCTTCTTGTCTCTCCGTTTTCGTCTCGTGCCTCGATCAGTAATGAAATGTGATGAGTTTGAGGTGCACTTCTTAATCGGCCTGACAGCAATAACCCTTTCTCTGGTGCTGTCCCGCCGACACGACAGCATCGCGTCTGGACCCCAATGGCGACGCGGACAGGGATACGTGGGACAGACGGGGACGGGGATCGCGGCTCGGGAAGACGCAGCAACGTGAAACTTGTCGATATTGTACTGTTCTCTCTCGCAACCTTCTCGAGTACAGTTCATGCAGTGGGCGGCAATGGTGCGTTACACCAGTCAACATCGCTTGGCACGATTGCGGTAAACTGACAAACGCACAGCACAGCGCGTTGCGCATTTCCCAAGACAAGCTGTGGGTTTCAACCGCACAACGTCAACCAGCTTAATAAGTCCGTCGTCGCAGGACGCGTTTCCATCTACTCAAGTCGAAACGGCCTCAACCATTCAATCGGCAAGCGGGAGTCTTCTGTCTGCAACAAATGGACAGCCGTCAGCATCTCGGTTTCCAGGAGGAACCCTCTCGGTGACAGGAGAGCCAGGAACAGGCCGCACACCGCCCCCAACATCAGACGAAAGCAGTTCGCCGATCTCGAGGAGTTCGATCTCATCGAACGTGGCCAATGGGACGTCCCAGGCCCCAGGCGTCGTCAGCACGTCAGAGGTGTCAAACTCGACGTTTACCAGAAACCCTTCAAGTACAGGGTCATCCGCTCTTTCAGACGCCTCCTCCCGCAGCCTGAGTACTTTACCCATAGCGAACACATCAACGACAAGTCCAAGTAGAAGCGCAGTTTCGGCTTCCATAACAACGTCGATATCGGGTCTCGAACCATCGTTTCCCATCAGCAATGCCACAATATCCGCCTCGCCAAGCGGCAACTCCAGCAGACCCGTAACGAATCTTACCGACACGGTCGAAGGAAATTCAGTTGTGGTCTTGACGGTTCCCACGGGTTACGAACCAGATGTGTCATGCATATCGACCAGCGACGGTGCCGTACCGACAACCTGGTCCATCGTCTACACATCTACGACGACTTTCTATGGGGATCCGGCAGACTACACGCCCCCTCAGCCCGAAATAACTGTCCCAATCACATGTTCTCCTTTGGGTATAGGAGAAGGAAAATCGAAGTCGCGCATAGCGTCTGGGTTCGCGACATGCACGGATACGAGTGGATGCACCGCCGCCGCTCTGCCATCCATGGTGCTCACCATGTCCACGCCAAAAATAGGACCTATTACGACCTATACGTTCGTCACGACGGCCAAGAACCCGTCAGTCGTTTATTCTCCCATCAGCACACCACGGTACGGCCATGATCCTGAGACGAAGGCCCCGCAAGATAAGCACACAGCTGTGAAACCTGCCGACAAGCCCACCGACAATCCCCGGCAGCCGGCCCCCAACGACCAGAAGCCACCCGACTCGCCGACAAACCAGCCTCAGCCGGCCCCAGACAACCAGAAGCCACCCGACTCGCCGACGAGCCAGCCTCAGTCGCCCCCAAACGACCAGAGGCCACCCGCATCAACGGTTCCGCCACGTGAGAGTGTAAAGGAACCACCAAAAGCCACTTACACAATCACCGTCGAGCCCACCAAGGTCATCGTCAACGACCAGACGTTTACAGTTACGAACCCCTCCGAGACACGTCAAGTCAGCGTGAGCGGTGCGGAGTTCACAATCAACCCAAGCGAGGTAGTTGGCGGAGGTACCATTGTTGACCGGCCGGGCAATGTTGGCCGAAGCACCGTGGCGCCTTCGAGCACCGTCGTGGGAGATGTACCAGTCGTCGTTGCACCAGATAGTTTACAAAATGTTGTAGTGGTCGGAGGGACGACGTTCGAGCTGCAAGCTACACCAGTCGTGGCCGTGGTCCAGGGGCAGACCATTACGATTCAGTCTTCCGGTATCGTGTTCCCGAAACAAACGGTGTCGATCAATCGATCTTCCCCGACACAGACGGAGATTGTTGTTGCGGGCGGCGAGATGGTGACCGCTATTGGTCCCAGTGTTGTGATCGTTCACTCGACGACGTTCACGTATGGTCTGGCGTCGTCCACCATCACAGAGATTGTCGACGATGATACCATTCTGATAGGGCCATCAGGGGTCATTGTGCGCAACGTGACCATGGGCGGCCCAAACGCGAAGGCCTCGGACACGGCCTTTGAGATCGTGGGTGGTGCGACGATCACACAGGTAGGGGCTTCGGTGGTGGTCGTAGAAGGCAAGACGTTCACGGTCGGTCCAGGGAGAGGAACTACGACGACCGTCATTGGTGGTGAGACCATCACAATTGGCCCATCCGGGGTAGCTGTGTCAACCCTCAGCTTGCGCTACCCCTTTGGGCCGACTGTTGTTACCACAATCAGCGCGCCGACAGCCACAGCGCCGTCGGCGCCGGCACCTTCGGAGACGAAAACGAATGGCGGCCCAGGTGTGAGGCACGCGAAGAGGACAGCAGGTCCCCGACTTGAGTTTTGCATAGCGATCGGCGTCTGGGTTCTGGGTCGGTTGGTTTGAGACACAAGGTTCATGACAGATGTACCAAGGCGTTTACGGTTCTTCTCTCTTGGTGAAGCAAGGCCTGGTGTAGCAAGGCTGGAAGGAGAAAGGCCACGGATTTGGGAAAATGGGGCTCTGCGCAGATGCGGGAAGGGCTGAAGTGTTGCCATCGACGGGCTCATGATGGCACGACGCCCAGGGACGGCTAAGGCGGGACGTGGGTGGGGGAGGGGGGATGCCTTCAATGCGACCTCACCGACGTCCTTCGAACTGTATTATTATACACCTCTAATCATAGTTAATGCTGCTGCCAATGGGCCTCGAGCGGGGACGAGGTCGCAGCAGCAAGGCACAGCCTCTCACGGCCGCACGTCGTCATCGGCCTTGCGGCTGTCAAAGGCCATATCATGAAGGGTGCCGAACGATAAATATGACGCGCATCATATCATCTGAATTCCAGCGACGTGGGAGAGAACCATTCTAGAAAAAGGGGCACCGCCATCATGATTGGGTTGCGCAGTTTGGGGCTGATCTGGAAGAGTTCAGATGATACAGGTGCACGAGTCGGCGGCCATGTTGGATACTGTGCGAAACTCACAAGCGAGGTGTAGGCCCCATGGTCGATTTGCACATGGCTATACGTCACGGATAATCCCTGTCTCGGCGACAACGACGATTGAGTTCCCCTGACGGCTCGCTCCAACCATGCCCTGGCTTCGGCAACGACATCTTTGCCGCAGCACACCAAAACCTCTCAGCCTTGGGAGGAGCCGTGGAGCCGACGGGGGCCGGCTGGGGGGAGAGAAAGCGTGACGGACGGGATAGGCGATGTTCGATGTTCGATGTTGGACCGGGGGCCATACACATACCACCCGCGCGCGCGCCTCTCTTCGTTTTGAAAAAGCCGTCCCGCAGTCCGTCAAGGTCCGAAACCAACCCACAGCCAGCCCGCCCAGAGCTGTCAAGCTAGCGATGGGCTGAAAACAACATGATGCCTTTTCTCAATCTATCCACTACCTGGTTTAAACGCCAAGAGGTCGGGGAAAAGGGACGAATGGGGTCTCCCGGCAGATAGATTGGCTTCTTCACTTCAGCCCTTCCTGCTACGGTAACAGACCTGGAGGCGACGTTGAGGCGTGGTTTCTATTTTGCGATTCTTGTTCCCTGTTTTCTCTCCCGCTTTGCAGGGGGGGGGGAGGGGGGGGAGGGGGGAAGTTCTAGAATATCTTGGACGTCTCATGGATGCAAAGCTGGTTGATAGAGGCAGAGTTGAATATTCCAAAGGGACCATTTGCGAGACCGATCACGCGTAGGTCAAAAAAGGTCGGGATGAGACGGAATGGAATGGGACTATGCCGGCGGTTCTGGTTAACTCTAATACTAAGAACCGCTAGCTTCCGTAGTGGAAGCGTTAAGACAATGTCTTGTGCCAGACAGGAGGGTGCGGGACTGGATGGACGCTACGCAGACTAGACCGGGATGACATATTGGTGAGATATTGTGCCCCCTTCGGAGTCGGGTACCGGCTCCGCGAGGGCTGGGCTCCGGAGGATGGCTACTCCGATCCAGCTGGTGTGAGGCTTTGGTGAGTGGTCGCTGTTCGAATCGCTCGTTCGATGATGGACCAGAGTATGTGAATCGTCAAGACATCAACTTCAAGGTCGCCTATCAGCCCTACGTGAAAGACAGACGTCACGGGTCTCACCGGCTGGAATTTGGGTAATCCCGAACTCGGAGGGTTTGTAAGACGGAGGAATGTGATGGACATGTGTGTTGTCTCGGGAGCTTATCTGACGGTTGCTCTGCAAGACACTGTGGCCATGCAAGATGTGACGGAGACGACAAAGTCCCAGATTCATGACGAGGAGTAAGAGAGACGTTGAGCACTCTTGTTGGGATTGTTTTGTGATGACGGTGGACTTAGTCTGACGGGCTGGGGAAGTAGTCGAATGCGTACGCCGAGAGTGCCCAGACGGAACGGCCCCCGGCGCGGGATGCTTGCGGTCATGAGCTGGGTCCGGCGCTGATCCGGGCGGCATCTGCAGAATTCCCTATTTGGACTGTTGCGTGGGGAGTTTTGGCGGCCGTACAGGAGCTGTGATATCAGCTTTGGAGACTACTTTGTTATCCTGAACCACTCCGCAAGTCACTAAACACGTATCAGAAGCTATCGCACTCTATATGGCATTGCTAGAACTCTGGCGTACATGGTAGTTAAACTACAGGCTGTAGGGTTAGCAGAAGGACACATAGAAGGGGTTTAATGTTGTTCAAGACGTCTTCGGCTTCCATAGGCACTGCCTGAAAGTCGGTACTCGGCACCGCGAGCTCAATCTATCACGTCGAGTTCAACTTTTACAACTTTTACAAACTCACAACAATTGCGAGCAAATAGTCTGTGAGTTCATATTCATTACGGGAAATGATGGGTCTTCTTTGGAAGCAATATCAAAAGTCTCGGATGCCTCATCCGAGCCTTCATTGCCATGGTTCATAACCCGACAATATCTGAACCTCCTTGGCAAGAACTGGTATCCCACTGATTGCAGTGACAGTTCCTCATACAGAATTGGGGTCTAGTTTCATAACAAGTACTCTTTTTGATGACCAGATATATTCAGTTGTTCATATGCCCCATCACGATTCCCCGAATACCCGTTGCAACCAGGGGCCGCATGAATCCATATACGAGCGTAGGACAACACCCAACTTACACATACACCTTTGCATCCCTTGGATTGACCTCCTCCTTACTCTAATGTTTAATTACTCCCACTCCTTCATCAAAGTGTTGCTCTCAATCTCCCTATCAAAACCCACAATATGCGTCGAGTGGCACCATGGCTTGATCTCCTCCTCCTTCCGAATCGTCCCTGCAAAGAACGAACACCACCCCAGTCTCGGGTGAGCCTCGTTGATCTCCCTCCTCGTCTTGTCGTGAACCATCTTGTCGAAGTCCTTCACGTTGGGATGCCTGCCAACGTTGTCGTACAGCGTGGCCAGCTGGATCAGCTGCCCCAGATACGTAATCGTCCCGTCGACGCCCATGTCCTGGTGGCGGATGATGGCTTCGCAGACGGCCTCGGCCTGGTCTGTGGTGGCGCCATGGTCCTTGAGGGCTTTGAGGGCTATGATGCCGCCGTATATGTCGAAGGACATGCGGGTCGCGGTCAGGTTTTCCTCCGCCGTGCCGATGTCGTGGAGGAGGCAGGTCAGGGCCCAGGTCACGGGGGAGAAGGAAGAGGCCTTTTGTGGGAATTGTTGTCTGGTGATTGCCATGCCTGTCAAGGGTTGTCAGCACGTGGCTCTATGCATGTCAGAGAACGTACCATAGTAGAAGACCCTCATGGAGTGGTTGAAGGTTTGAGCGTGGAGGTGGTCTTTGGCATAAGTCAGAGTCTTCGCGATAATCGGGTCATCGGATGGGAATTGGATGTCTTGGACTGAGATGGGTGCCGGTTCGTGGAGGAATGGTTTGTCGCCAAAGATCTTTCCAGCATCGACTGGCACGGCAGTCCACCCGTTGGCCTCGATGTCGTGTTGACACATGTTGTTTATAATGATGGTTGAACGACCCACGAGCTGAGGCGAGTCTTCGGAATGTATCAGTGCCAGAATGGCGTTTTGTTTAACCTGGAAAAACCTCTTACTTATGTACTCGGTGCTGGCATGACACAAACGTGTACCAAACCACACATGAGCGCATAATGACAAAGACCGGCTGCCCGCTCATAGCTCGGGTGAGAACATAACCTCCTCCGCTCACCCGGGGCCGAAGGGCGCGCCGGCGGCCGACTTGGTCTCGGAGCTTCTTGCCTGGTCCCCCCCCTTATTACGGAGTTGACCCGCCTGAAGGGCGCGATCGACATAGACTGTCAACATCCATTCGCAGAAGCTCGTGGCTTCAACTTATGGTTTTGAAGACATTACGTTAGAGAAACCTGACGTTAGTCAGCCCGGAATTCGGGTCGAATGGGCATGCCGAATGATTTCAAGTTGAGTATGACGTCCCTGTCATTGACATAATGATATAGAATATGACGGGTCAAGACCACTTCATCTGGAGTCTTCTCGATTCCAGCGGTCGGTTAGACTGCATGGCACCAAGCTTCGGTGACCATATTGCAGGTCCAATATCATCGTCTGATTTACTGCGATTACCATATCTACTCAGAAAGCCAAAGTAAATTAGTTGAGGTCTATCCCAAGCGTACCTCAGCATTCTCTGTCTCTGCCGCATTTCAATTCTGAGAAGGTATTCGTTCTGTATGATGCATTGGGAGTCGCGCGTTCTTGTCTCCCCTCGTCAAATATCCCCTTTCTGCTGTGGCAAAATTGAGACCAATTTGCATGCGTGATATTGTCAACCGCTTTACAAACTTCGAGTAGGTAAAAAGGTACGAGACACTGAGTTGTTTCTGGCCTAGTCAATATATAGTCCTCTCAGACCACCACTACAGTAATGATCCATAGCGGCAGAAATTTTCAAGCTGTATAAGCTTTCACCCCAGTACAACTCCAGTCTGATTGTAGTCAAATACGGCCAACTGTCCAATAACTGTCAGCCAGGGAACCTCCAGAAAGCCAGGATCAAGACAAGATTTGCCTGTTCAATGATTATACCAGTTCGATGATGCTCGACCGTGAACAAGACGGTTGCCTCCTGAGACCTGGGTCGTTATTAACAGCCGCGCCTCGTCATCGTCACTTTCCTCCGCCCTGCTCGCTTGCTCGCTAGTCTGGTACACGTAAGTGGTTGTCCGCCTGCTCCTCTATCCTATATTTCAATGTCTGCAACAGCACCGCAAGGTATCCGGACGCCTAAATAAAGACACATCACCATCAATGACGTCGTTCTACATTGGTCCACTAACCTCATAGTGTCGGCGAGGACGGGCTGAGCTCAACATACAAGTCAAACTGCACACCTTTCCTGCATGGCGCTTACTCGCATGATCTGTACAACAACCCAACGGGAACAGACCTGTGTACGGGCTAAAAGTATCTATTCTCTAGGG